AGCGTCTTCAGAAACCTGTATTATGATCTGCATTCCAGAATATTTTTGTCTATTTTTGTCACCTCTCCTCACTTTTTCCTTTCTTCCCATGAGTTTGATTAGGAAGTATGCAAATGCACAAAGTCATAAGAGAGGAAAGGATATTGGGTGGTAAATGTGTTTCAGTGGAAGTACAGCATCTGTACATCTAGCAACTAGAGCTTTCTTTAGCCTTTTTGTGACTGTTTCCTCCAGGAACTTCCTCTCACTCAGCTCCAGCATGGGACTAGGCTTCGTATATTCAGTGTCCTGACCTGTATTTCATGACTTATATTTTATTTTCTTTTTCTTAATACTGGAATAACTTATATTTTATTATGTTTAGGAATTTCAGATATATTCTCTAGGAGATATAAAAAAAGTCTGTGTTTAAATATAAATATTTGTATCTACTAGTAAAGGCAAAAGTGAAATAAGATAAATGCTAGACTTTGCTCATTCAGTATTTTACTTTTTTTTTTTTTTTTTTTTTTTCCAGACAATAATTGGAAACTCTTTATTACTTCACTGAAATAAACATTACTAGTAGCTAAATGGCTTTGAATGCAATTATTATTATTATTTTAAACTGAATTAGCTTTATAATCTGTTTCTCCTAAATCATTGCTGGCTTGTAGACTAAAGTTGAGCAATGGTGAATTAACTGATGTTAAGCAAGAGCAAACAATTAACATTGGATTCTTACTTTCCTGTTTACTTGGAGAAAAAAACCTGAAAATCTTTTGATCTGTAAAGGAGGAAAATTAATATGTGAGATGAAGCTGTGTATTGATATTGCTCCATCAGGTTTCTCCTGATAATTTACTGTAGTTCTGAGTTTGCTCACTGAGGACTGTCAAATTTTAAATTCCCCTACATTAGTAATGAAATTCTCCATGAGAACCTTAGGCACGTTACGTTTTCTGTAGTGAAGGCAGCAGTAGCATTCACTGTACTGCTACAGTGTACATCATTTCACATCTGTCTCAAAGCTCTATGTTCTGAAAGTCTGGATCATTTCTACTAATAGGTTTTTAATGAGTAGTTATCAGAAGCTGCTCTGCAGATGCTGCTTCACTCCTTACCTTATCTCCATTAAAAGGATTAAAAAAAAAAAAAAAAAAAAAAAAAAAAATGCTGTTTGAGGGAAAGAACATGGAATGTGTGATATAGTACCTTGGTTTTGGCTATAGCAGGGTCCCAGCAAATAAATAAATAAATAAAAATCAGGAGCCCCAACAAGGGACTCCTTCAAGGCTATCATGTTGAGCTAATGTTGAAGAACCATGAGATTATTGCTGGTTTTGTTTGAGCTAGAAAAAGATGACTTAGGATTGTTTTCATTGTCTGGTAAAGGTGTAAACAATCTCACACATTGCTAAGGTGTGTGATCAGCAGTGTTCCACAGGAGAATGAGATTATATATTAATTTTCTGTGCTTTTTTGCTTGATAGCATCAAGATAGAAAGTCACTGCATCGAATTCTTTTATAATTTCACATGTTCTTTTCCTTGTTTTTGAATTAGAGTTAATGCAAGAGTATCTGATGTTGTGGCAGATGCTAGAATTGCAGTAGAATCACAGAAAGACTTTTTTTGTTTTAATTCTGTTGCAAACTTCATACAATATGAGGTGAGGGTTTAAATATAACCCAGGGAAAAAAACAAGCTGAACAGAGATGTGTTACGCTTTATCTTTTGTTGCTGCTTCTTGTTATTGCTCAAATATGAACAATAAAACATTGATACTGAAGATAGAATACTATAATAGACTTGTACATTGCCTTTTTCTTGTATGATTGTCTTTTTCTTAACAGCAACTTTTATAGCTCTGAAATAATAGGCAAAAATGTAAGCCTAAAACTTTCTCTCTGAATTAATCGATAGAATATACTCAAATCTGCTCTTTTGGAGATGTGCAGTAAATAGTCATTTGCAATGAATATGTGAACTTGAACATACAATGATTATTAGAGTACTCTATGTGTATTCAGAGTAGCACTGATGTTTTCCCTTTTACAGATGCAGCTTTGAATCAATCGTAGATATTTTAGGACTTCTCCAAAGGTGTGTTTTCACCCAACAGCGTGTAACAACTAATTTGAAATCGTTACTGTCCATCATGGTAATGACTGCTTAGGGACTCTTATATTTAGAGGTTATTCACATGCTGTATGCATGCATGAGATATAAATGTATTGAAAATCCTTGAGGGAAAAATTGAGGAGGAAACTGCATGAATAGTCCAGGATACCAATACAGACAGCCTGCTTCAGTGACTCAACTTGTCATCTTGGATAAGTCATGGTTCCTTCTCACTACAGAAGATGAGAGATAAATACTTTCTGGTCTGTTAGTTCGTGGGGTTAATGATATTTCTGTTTCTTCTAATTTAGGGGGTATTTGTAACAGTATCTGGGGCAGGGGAGTCATAGTGAATCAAAATTTAGCTAGGAAAACACCATCTGAAGCAGTCATTTTCAGGCATGTAGACAGTGACTGTACCTGCCAGAGAAAGAGCCAGTAAAGTCAGGTTTTTGGCTGTGTTTGGAAGGATATCTGTTTGGAATTACTGTTGGTGCTCAGTTCAGATTTTACTCCATGGTTGATTTATTATGTGTTTATTTTTTCATAGGATCATAGAATGGCCTGGGTTGAAAAGAACCACAATGATCATCTAGCGTCAACGCCCCTGCTATGTGCAGGGTCACCAAACATTAGACCAGGCTGCCCGGAGACACATCCAGCCTGGTTTTGACTGCCTCCAGGGATGGGGCACCCCTCCAGGGTGGTGCATCACCACCCTCTAAGTGAAAAACTTCCTCCTAATATCTAACTTAAATCTTCTCTGTCTCAGTTTAAAACCATTCCCTTGAATTCACTTGACCTATCACTATCCACACTCGTATACAGTTGTTCTCCCTCCTGTTTATATGCTCGCTTAGGTCTTCACAGAGCCTTCTCTTCTCCAAGCTAAACAAGCTTGGAGAACAAGTCCCTCAACCCTTCCTCATAGGAGAGGTGCTCCAGTCCTCTGATCATCTTATTAGCCCTGCTCTGGACTTGTTCCAAGAGCTCTGCATCTTTCTTGTGCTGGGGGCCCTAGGCCTGAACGCAGTACTCCAGATGGGCAGTACTCCCTCTCCCTGCTGGCCACCCCTTTTTTAACGCAGCCCAGAACACAGTTGGTTTTCCAGGCTGCAGGCACACACTGCTGGCTCATATCCAGCTTCTCGTCTACCAGGACCCCCAAGTCCTTCTCTGCAGGGCTGCTTCTCAAGTTCTTCTCCTAGTCTGTATAAATACCTGGGATTACCCTAGCCCAAGTGCAACACCTTATACCTGGCCTTGTTTCCCTTCTCTTAAATGCATGCTGAGAGTAATGACTTGCAGTAGTCAATAGCAGAAGGTACACCCAGACATCACAGGGATGCATGGTATGATCTCTCCCTCCAAATACAGTCTAAGCCTCTCCTTGTTGATGGGCACAGTCTTTGCTGCCCACAACTCAGCCCTCTCTTGAGCACAGATTACTTAATAAAGATAGGCTGAGGTAAACATTAGTTTTGTGATATACATCAGTACTGAAGAGGAAGAATTAGTCCTTTTATGAGCTGTGGCTTTGAATCGGTCTATATAAAGTGGAAGCTTTAATCCTTTGTTGGAGAAAGGCATTTTCAAAGGGTTCTCTTTACAATGTACTGCTTGAAACTCTGAGGATTATTGCTAAATGTTTATGTGTATTAAAATGAGTTCATATTTTAGGTTTTTATTTTCTTATTACAAATTTTGTTATTTTCACCATCTGCTTATTAAAATTTAGTCAGATCTGCCAGTCTTAAGTCTCTTTAAAATTTAAGAAACACTTTAGTCTTGGTGTTCTTGCTTGTAATGTTGGGAATTTCTTCGCACAACTAATGGGTGTTGCTTTTTTTTTTTCCCTACAGAATAAGGAATTAATTTGGTAGATATGTAGAGAAATATATATACATATATGTATATGTCTCAGCGTTTGGCTTTTAGTACTGTGAAATTTATAGTCTTTGTGATTTCAGTATTTTTGTATATGGAGTTGTAGTCTAGGAATACTTTTTAACTGCAAATTCTCCTGATGGATTTTAAATGCCTTTTTGACAGTAAAATGGGAGAATGAAATACTTCTTTCAGCTGTGCTATATCTATCTGTGCTTGGGTATAATTTTATGTGTGTATGTGTGTGTGTGTACAGTTGCAGTATGGATTATGATACCTTTACTATGCTGATAGCAGAATCCGGTAGCTGCTGAGTCAGTTTGTACCACAATGGTATAGCACCTTATTGCTATGCCAATGACTAGAGTGTTAGCAAAACTAAGTCCAAAGATGGAAGAATGGACCTCTATTCCTTTCCTCTCAAAGCATACAATTATAATTGTAAAAAATTGTTAACCAATAGGTAGTAAGACATAGGGCTTTTGGAAAAATCTGTATATTGAATCTGATTGAATCTGACAGATGAAAAGATAGGAGGCCAGCATGAGTGAAATTTGGAAGGGCACAGAAATCTGTAAGTTAATGTAAACAGAAAGATTATTGCAACAAGGAAAAGATCTTGTGTAACAGATTTTCCGCAAGTTTTGTCTCCATAAGGTATTGGTTTGCTAATGCCTGAGTCAGAAGTATGTGTTTGTAGTACAAACTCAGGTTTTTAGCTATGAAAGTTTGTGATACAGTCTCTGATACCAGGTAAAAAGCAAACAAACAAGCAAGCAATGTAATTTGTGGGCAGATTATCTTTTTCTTTGTAATCTCTTTGGTGACATTGAAAGGCTAATTTGTGAGAATGTTTTGTGAAGCCAAAAGTGGAAATAAATTATCCTTCACTCCACCCTTTTCTTTGTCTCTAGGATCCCGTCTCCGCCAAGAGGACTTTCCACCACGGATTGTTGAGCATCCTTCAGATGTGATAGTCTCTAAAGGAGAACCAACAACCCTGAACTGTAAAGCTGAAGGACGGCCAACTCCTACTATTGAATGGTACAAAGATGGAGAGCGAGTGGAAACTGACAAAGATGATCCTCGCTCCCACCGTATGCTGCTGCCTAGCGGATCTTTATTTTTCTTACGTATTGTGCATGGACGCAGGAGTAAACCTGATGAAGGAAGTTATGTTTGTGTAGCAAGGAACTATCTTGGAGAAGCTGTGAGTCGCAATGCATCTCTGGAAGTGGCATGTGAGTAAAGTTTTGCATGATTAACACTGCGTAAAACTTTATAGTTGCTTTTATATTGCTATCCAGCACTTGCACACATTGAGTGGTTTGAGAGATAAGCATAGATAAGGATGGCATTTTGTCATCAGCTGTATCTCTTAGTCAAGGCATTTATACATGCATTTATTCAGTAGCAGTGACCGTACAGAATGTGATTTATATGGAAGTACAGTTCTAGCCAGTGTATAATCATGATTGGCACAAGCATGGACAAAGGCTAATCTTCCTCTAAAGAATAATCTAATTTCTAAATTATGACTAAAGTTGGTTATGCTGAAACTAATGTGGAAAAATACCTATCATTTAATATAAGGTGCACTGTCTGTTTCTCTTTATTTAGTCATCTGTTACCTCAACAGGAACAGACAGCTTCTTGGTGTCTCATGTTCTGTAGTGCTAGCAACCTCAGTGTGTGCTCCTCTATCATAAACTTGATATAGGCCTCATTCATTATGTGAGTGGCAAGTGAAATTGTTGGCCATTTCTCATATCCTCCAGAGCACTCTTATTCTTTATCGATTCTCTTTGTCTTAAAAGAGAAGTCGTCACAGTTCTCAGAGAGACCACCCAGCATGCATGATATGCTTCCAGTAGAGTTAACAAACACATTCGTTACAGTCATAGAGCAAACAAGCTCATCATATATAAAATGCGACATTTTGCTTAGTAATTTTTACTGCTTGGTTGTATGGGTTGGAAAAAAAACTTGATTATTTTTTTTCAGAGTATCGACAAAGCGTAGCTGTGTTCCTTTGCATAATTGTGTGTTTTAGTGGAATTATAAATGCTGTTCTCTTGCTGATCTTTAATTTTCCCCTCACAGTTCTTCATTTGGCAGTAATTTCAGCAAAATGTGTTTGACTGGATTAGGGCTTCAGCACAAGCTTTCATCACTTAGTTGGTAGAGAATGGATTTAAGAACACACAAAAAACATATGGTGGCCTAAAAAAATAGAGGTAGAAAAAAGCAAACTTTATTCCTGATGCAGTCTGGGACTTTTATAGCTATTGTGACATGATCGTAGGTTTTCAGTCTTTTCACAAATTGCAGAAAATGACATTCTTGAATTAGTTAGATGTTGGCATAGGCTGAGGAGAACAGACCTGTTCACAGCCTTTTCCTTGTCACAACCTAGATTAAGAACTGTTTTAAAGGAAGAATAAAAGCAGGTTTGTTTGAGCCACTAATAAATGTATATCTGCTGATAAAGGCATCATAAAGTTACTCTACTACTATTTAGGAATTGAGAAGATGACCAGTTTAAGAAAGGTTGAAAGCTGGGTGAGTAGAAATACAGATGAACTTTAGCTGGATTATTCCTGTGTTTATATACATGTTTTTTTTGTTTTAAGCTATCTATTGAGAAACCCTGTGTGAAAGACTTAAACATTTGAGATCTTAGATAATCGTGTTAAGATTTAGACATCTCCCATTGAAGCTCAGAACACTGTTAAAGTTATGCTTTGAGTCATCAAACTGAAGTGATTGGTTATTTTGGAATTCAGAGGTACTCTGTGTTCTATCAGTTTTCACTGATCCCTACTTCAGTGGCTGCTGTGAGACTCTTGTTACAGCATCTCCAGTCTTTGGCATTATTTCTTTAACCACTATAACTGATGGCAGGTCATGCATGAACTGCATGTGAGACAGTACGAGACTTTAAAAATAATAATACCAAGTTTCATTGTCAGAAGGATCACAGAACATGAAACTTTAGATCTGAAACTATAGCCAAAGTTTCTGCAATAGCAACATGCACCTGACATCACATTTTTTAATTGTTTTCATAGCTTTGAAATTTAACTGACTGAATTTTCCAGTTAAACGGTTTAGCAGTCTAAGGCAGGCATTCTGTTACCACTTAAATTAAACACTGCTTTGTCTTTCCTTGAGCCATACCATGATTGTGATTATAAAAAGGTATTTTCAAAGAGAAAAACCCAAACTGTGATCACTGTTCGTTTGTTAAATTTTAGAGATCCTCTTGTTTTATGCTCATAGGTTACGAAAACGCGTGGCAACATCAGAAGAGGTGTATCAAAAGAATCTTGTGGAGAGAGATACCCAAACTGACTAATGTTTCCTTGATTTTGAAACTTTTATCTATAAAATAAGTTTTAAAGTGACTTTTAGAGAACTACTGTTTCTAATGTCAGCATTTCTGGAGTGAAAAAAGTGGGCAAACCTGTAACAGGCCATGTACACACTTGAGAAATGAGTTGTTGCTGACAGCCTGTTGTCAGCATTAAGTCCTCATTCTCGTGTTTTCCACACTTCTAAGGGCAGTGAGTTGCCTGGATGCCAGGGCCCTGTCTGAGGGAACTGAGACAGCCACATGCAATCAGGGCTTCCTTCTGCTATCTCTAATGGTGTTGAAAACTGCTCTTTACACACTGAGCTAAGCTGTTTTCATCACCAGAGAAAGGGTGGTTGTCCTTTGCTGACAACACAGTTTTGGATTACTAGATGACTGTAGGTGGCCTCAAATTGTGCTATTAGAGAAAAACTTCTAAGGTCTGAAATACTTGAGTCTGCTGTTTTAGTGGAAAAACCAACAATTGTTTTACTTTTCGTATTATATTGTCATTCCACACTAACGCACACTTGGAACTTTTGAATTATTTATGAAGAAATATTTTGGCATTTTCTGTTAAGTTCTGTTAAGTGTGGTCACGCTTATGCATTCAGATGATATTGCATTAATTGCGATTCATTCTTTTATCCTTTCATTTTTCCCTTCCATGGTCATCTGGCCCCAAAGCACCAACACTGAAAATCTTCTGATGTACCCATTAGATAGAAGAAAAAGCTTAAGTGAAGTTCAGTTCGATCATGTAGTGATTCAGAGGACAGAAAGTGGCCCATCTTGAATGTAATCACTTTCCCCCTTGGTTTTGAAGCGATTTTTACAAGTTGCTGAAGTCCCAGAGCTCTTTTTTTCTTTAATGTAGGAACAGTTAACATTTTCCCAAGCATAATGAATTTAGATACCAGAATTTAAATCTGCTTTTAAATCCATGCCTGTTGAAAGCATTTTCATACAATTAAAGGGAAATATTTGTATCTATTTATATGCGTAATCAGAAAAGTACATCCATCAAATCATAGAATATTCACAGAAAATATCTCAAAAAACTGTGAGGAACTTTGATTTGAGAAGCTACTTAAAGAACATCCTTACCATACAGAACATGCTTTAAGAACTGTTTGTAATTTTAGGGAGTGTTTATTCCAGAGGATATTGAGGGAGAAATAGATGTTAGTATTGTAAGGCATAGTCTGGGCTAGACATTCTGTTTAATTCTTCTTAAATGCATCAGTCACTGCTGTTTTTTTTGTTAGGGTCAGTTTCCCTTCCCTTCCCTTCCCTTCCCTTCCCTTCCCTTCCCTTCCCTTCCCTTCCCTTCCCTTCCCTTCCCTTCCCTTCCCTTCCCTTCCCTCTTTTTGTTTGCAAGAACCTTCCTCAAACAGTAAAAGATACTTGTATTTCTAGTAACAGAATCTTTTTTTTTTCATTGTGGTAAATTCTGATGTAGTATTTGTATGTCTTATGATTCTATCATTAAAAATAAATGTTCTAGTCCTAAAACATTTAAAGAATCTTATTCAAAATAGTAGAACATATTTCTTTATTTTTCTATTTATATGTTACAGTTTTTTTAAAACAAAATTGAACCAGGATTGGCATTATTGGAAATATCTTAACAGCAGAAATTTCTGGGGAGATTTAGAAAAGGGAGTTCATCTTATTTTTATGAAATTGATTTAATTCTTGAAAATCATTCTTGAAAACTTTCATTGTTAAAATAAAGGCACAGTTTTTTACAGTGTATGAATTGACATGATTGCACCAATGTGCTGGAGTTTTCCAGTGGGACTATCGGAAGACAGAGATAGGATTTCAGTCCCCAGCAATGGGGCGCCATTGTAAGCAACAGAGAGAGCATGAGGGGTCCTCGCTCTGAGTCACCAGGCTCTGATCCAGCCTGAGTCAGCGGTAGCCCCTAGGGAGAGCAGCTGTAGCCCCAGGTGTTAAATATGTGACAGCAGCTTGATCTATCGACCGCTGTTAGAGGGGGCTTCGGCCTAAATGAAAATTCATGAAAAATTGATGAAGTCCCCAGATTATTTTTTTTTTTCCCTTTTCCTTTTTCACTGCTGTGCCAATGCAGCAAGGAGAGATTAAATGAGGTGTTGAACGCTTTAGTGGCAAGGAGGTTGCGGTTCAAAGGTCGGAAGGTCAAGGGAAGGGAAGAAAAGACCAATTTTCTACCATACTTTCTTTTAAAAGAAAATAGTAGGCTTTTTAGATTAGCTAGGATTTACTTCCATTTTAATATAAGAATCCATTTTAATATAAGAATAAAGCCCGGGAATATTCACAAATAAGATTCTTTTCTGCATGGGTTGGCAAAGGGTAGAAGTGTGTGGGTTGGTGCTAATAGAAAACACAACTGGAGGACTTGGCTTCATAATTCAGTTGAATAACCAGAAATAGATTTAATTTTGTGATGGCAGAGTAAATTTGGGTTTCCATCTTTCCGAATCTGTGCTTGAACTGAAGTCATTTGGAGAAAGGTCTTGCATTATTTATATGTCACAGATTGCTTGAATAGCAGGCTTTGAAACACTTTCCAAATATAATGATCTTGTTTATGTTAAATTCAAAACTGAGTTATGTTTTATCTTTAATAAGAGTGGTTACAGTAATACAGTGAATTTAGCGTGAAGAGTCACAGGTGTACTCCAAATCCACATCTTACACATGGGAGACAGTAATTTTACAAATAAAACTGATATGCTGTAGTACTATGTGAATAAAGGGTGGGAGGTATGAAATAAATGCTATGCAATCATCTCTGTACCATAAAGCTAATGACAATTTGCAGGAACATCTGCAAAAGGCTACAATATGCTCATAATAATGGAGTCAATCATTTCACTTGACATATTTAGAATA